TTTCTGAAGCAATTCCAGAAGTTTTTTTTTAAATGTTTTTTTATAGCTGCCTCTGTGTCCTGAATTGCATGGGAATGTTTTTGGCAGTTTCTGTCGAATAAAACATCAGTGTGTCCTCGTCCACCTTACTCCCCAGGTCTGGCACTTTGAGACTTCCAGATCTTCTCCAATCTCAAAGTGGTCGTGATTCGTAAATGTTTTGAATTGATTCAGGACAAGACAATGCAACTGAAGACACGAAAGAGGATTTCCAGAAAGTGGCGAGAACAGTGGGATAAATTTGATCAAGCTGAGGGAGATTAATGCCAATATGTTTTCACTGTAATAAAAATTTAACAGTTTAAACATTTACCATATGTTTTTATAATACCTCATAACTAGGACCCTCAGGCCTATGACTTGCTTTTAGTGTTATACATCTAAAGGGTTGTAAATATTTTTCTTTTTAAAAATTAATGGTTGTGTGTACTTGTGGTGTGATAATTTGATGCATGTATACAATACTCAGTAATCAAGTCAGGATAATTAGGATTTCTCCTTCAACATTTAGCATATCATTGTATGGGAAGTATGGAACTCCTGTTCTCTAGTTCTTTATAAAATAGCGGTAAACTATAGTCACCCTCCTGTGCTATAGAAACTATAGTTTATTTCCCCCATTTAAGGGTATTTTTATATAGAGTATTGTAAATTAAAAAAGAAGAAGAAAAAATGTGACAGAGATTGTAGGAGGTCTACAAGGTAATTATTTACAAGTAATATATTTTTTGTTTGGTTCTAAACCTAAGAAGTTTGCAGAAACCTAGTTTGGATTGCCAGAGTTGCTCCTTTGAGAAGATGATATTTAATCTGGGAATTTAAGAAATACAAGAGTTAGAAAAAAGTTTTTGCCTTAATGATTTTTAGAGAAAACTTTCAAACTATTTTAGTTATGTGAGGCTTTTCGTTGGAACCTGGCTCCTTCTCCAGGTAGGGAGAGAGGGAGGTCTATTTAAAGGGCATGATACTATAAATAATTTCGCTATTCTCTTTCCTCAGATTCCTTTAATATGTAGCTGGTTTGATCTTAAAGTAGCACCACCTTCTTTTCATTTTTCTGAGCTTGTGACTTTCTAAGGCCACAGACAATTCTGAGCTGTAGTACTAATACCAATAAGAAAAACTTCAATTGATTGTGCATTTCTTTTTTGTGCCATGCACCCTGCTATGTACTTTCCATTCTTCTCATATCACTCTAACAACTTTGCAAGATGAGTACTTTTGTCTGGATTTACAAAATGGTAACAATGATCAGACATGCTGAATGCGTTGCCTGTGGTCACTGCTGGTGGTCACATAGTCAGGAGCCCTGAAACGCTGTCTCTGTCTTAAGACTGAGCTCTTCAAGATGCCTGTCAGTGCTGGCTTCTCCCTCTTCCAAGGAGGGCATTCTGTTTCTTAGGTTGTATGACCACTGATGAAAAGCCTTTCCTATCCCATCCCCATGTCCCTTGTCCCTTCAGCTTCATCCTCTCTACTCTGCAAGTAGCAATCACAGCTTTTAATTTCCTTAAAAATCTCAGTGCATTGGGTGAATGTCCTTAGTACACCACAGAGCCAGATGAGTGGAAATGAAAGATGGTAAACTCCTAACTATTTCCTCATCTGCTTCAGGCTAAAGTAATTTTTGACAACTCTATTGCACTTTAATTTTCCAAATTTATTGCCTTAATTTCTCTGCTAAAGACAATTTTTAATGAGTTTAATATTAGTGCGTAGCTGTTTCAGAGGCATCATTAATTTGACATTTCTTCTCTCTGATGGGATAGGCTCATTTTTCTTCCATTCCTCCTTTTCCTAGCTTCCATGGACATCGTTTGAGAAATTTTTCTCATTTCCTCTAGCACCTGTGTTGCCTTGGGCAGGATGGTTTGCTAGCAAAAGTGCCAGGAGGCCAGGGTTGCGGTGACAGCAGGTCTCTAGCTGTGTCTGGGTTCCGCATGAACCACGGACCTTCGTGGGTTCAGCCTCTTCATCTGGTAAAACAGGAATTTAGGTTTGATACTTAATTTCTAAGACTTGTCAATCTGCCTACATTTCTAGATCAATCAGGGAATAACCAGGAGAAGGAAATTGTCCCAGTTATCTGAAAAGAAACTTTGATATGAAAATGGGTAGGTGAAATGTTTTTAACAAGTACAGTGGAGGTAGTGGAATCAAAGAATAGCTACCAGCCCGAGGGGAGCAGAAACAAAAGGAAATTATTAAAATTTATCTACACATCAGACCTAGGAAGGGGGGTGCTGGCTGTCTTCCGCTGATGTGCGAGAGGAGGGGGCATCGCGTGTCTTCTGCTAATTGGATTTAGCTGCCATCACGGGATGCAATTGCTGCTGCCCGGATGGAGAAGTATTGTTCTGTGAAATTTACTGAACAGAAAGCACAGATCTTTTCCTCCTCCTTTACTCTGGAAGCCTCCCTTTAGTGCCCCCTATTGGCAGAGACTAGCAGGGAGCAGCTAGGGTCTAGAAATAGGATCTAGAAGGGTGCTCTGTTCTCCTCACCCTGCACTGTTTATTAGTGGTTGCCTAAAGGTGTCAAGCTTTTTTTTTTTTTTTGCCTTCTTGGCTTTGCACATGGGTCTGCCACTGTATTTTATGGATTACCTCATAACCAATGGAAACCTGATGACGTTTCATTTGTCCTTCAAGAGCAGTAATAAGAAAATCTCTGAACACAAGACAATCCAGGATGTTATGACTTCCCTGGTGAATCCTACCTAACATTCAAAGAATTAATGCCAGTCTTTCTCAAACTCTTCCAAATAGGATTTAAGCAAGAAAAGGAATTAAAAGCCATTCATATCACAAAGGAAGAAGTAAAACTGTCTATGTTTGCAGATGGCATGATCTTATATATAATACAGAAAACACTAGATTCCACCAAACATAGTTAGAGCTAATGACAAATTCAGTAAAATTGCAGAATAGGAGACCAACATGCAAAAATCAGTCGTGTTTGTATTACTAACAATGAACTCTGAAAAAGAAATCAAGAAAACAGTGCCATTTACAATAGTATCAAAAACCTTAGGAATTTTTTTTATTATTTTTTTAATTAAGGGAACCCCCCTAAAATTAGCAGGATATATTATAGTAACTTTTTTGATTTCCTATTAACTTGATTTGAAATCCTGTATTACTCCCACTATCTTGTTTTGACTGATTAGACTCTGTTCCATTCTGTTTGATAGTATCAAGTTTGAGCGTACAGGCAACTACTTTGAAGGCAATAAGATTCACTATGATGCCCATTCTGGTTTGACTATTATCTTCTTTTGAAGTCCTGTAATGTTAACAATGTTTAGGTTTTATTGATCTTGTTCTGTACTGCTTTGTTCAACTTTATTATACCTAATGATATAGGCAATTCTTTTTAAGGAAGCAAGAGGCATTATGATAACCATTGTTGATAACCTTGTACTCTGTTTTTACATCATGTGCTATGTCTATCTTTTGTTTTGACTGACTGCTTTGGTTTGTCATATTTCGTTTTATTCTCTTCCAAAAAAATGTCATAAGAACTATGGGAGTAATAAAATCCAAAATGTGTAAATTTTGTTGTAAAAAAGAGAGGGAAAAAAAGTGCTCTAAAGGATACAACTGCAAGTATGTTTAGGTGTGTTAGGATAGATGACCATATTACTGAGTTTTTGTTGGGTCACTGAACACAACTGTTTGCAGTCTCACTGTTTGAATGTCCACTTTGTATGCTTTGATCCTGTGAGTTGAGCAACTATTTCTAAGATGACAATGTATAATCTATTAACTGGTAATTTCTTACTGTTTTTTTTTTTTTTTTTGTAGTTCTGTATTGCTTGTACCCTTACACTGTTTTGTTTTGTTTTTTCTTTTTTGCCTTTTAAATAAAATTTAAAAAAACTTAGGAACAAATTGGTCCTAGGAGGTGAAAGAGCTGTCCACTAAGAATTATGAAATACTAATGAAAAAAGGTGAAGAAGATATAATTAAGTGGAAAGCCACAATACATTTATGAATTGGAGGAAAGAACATTGCTAAAAATATCCATACTATCAAAAAAGATCTGTAATGATCCCTAACAAAATTCCAGTGACATTTTTCACAGAAATAGAAAAAAATCTCTAAAATTTATAAGAAGTCACAAAAAACACCAAATGGTCAAAATAATCTTAGCTAAAAAGAGCAAAGCTGATGGTACACCTCTACCAGGTAGGCTACAAACAATTAGCAAAACAATGTGTCCCTGGCATAAAAGTATATAGACCAAAAGAATAGAAGGGAGAGACCAAAAATAAATTCACAAATTTATGGCCATTGATCTTTGACAAAGATAGTAAGAAGACACAATAAGGAAATGATAACTCTTCAAGAAATGATTATCCATGCAGAGAAAAATGAAATTGTATACTTATTTCAGATTGTGTACAAATCATGCTAGATTCTCCTAAAATGTCTGGACACTTACTGCAAAAGGCCCTTCAGGACTGTGGAATGAGACAGCCAGCTCTGGTGGGAATTGCTGAGTTTCAGATACAACATGTGTTTCTGTCCTGGTTTTACATGTTTATCCATGTAGCCACATTTACCCTGGAAATTCTTTCCTTAAGAATCACATCTCAGGTGAAGACATTTTTAGTACCAGCACTTCTCTTGTTTAAAATGATAGCATCTCCCTTGCCTAGAGATTTTATATCTAAAAGAATAATCTCTAAGAAAAGTACAACCATCCTAGTTCTGGTTGACCAATGTGGTAGGTGTACATACATGTAAATCCGGTGATTTTGGAGTAACATTTGTAAAAAGTTCCATTTGAGTAGCGCTGCTGATTTCCTATGAATATCTAGTCATATTCTGTTTTTTATGTCCATGATATGGAATTTCTAGGATGGGGTAAAACTGAAGATCGGATTTTTAAAACATTATATAGTCTAATGTCCTGTTTTCTCTCCCTGTCTCTTTTTCTCTTTCCCTGCATCACAGGGCTGATAGTCTACTTGGGAATGATGGCCGGGGCCTTCGTCCTGGGGGGCCTGGCTGATAAACTGGGAAGGAAGAGAGTCCTCAGCATGTCTCTGGCTGTCAATGCCTCCTTTGCCTCGCTGTCCTCCTTCGTGCAGGGATATGGCGCCTTCCTCTTCTGCAGACTCATCTCAGGCATCGGGTATGACACAGAGACCTTGAGCCCAGTGCTAGACCAGTGGCCCACCCACCCTGGCGTTATCTCCAGAGTCCTTCTGTGGAGTTTCTGAGGGACTTCCAAGACACTATATTACATTTGAACTGTAGAGAGAGAGAAGGTTAGGATTAAACTAAAAGTAGTGAACAAAGGAAAAATAACCCAAGATTTCCTCCCATTTCCAGATGGGAATGGCCTACTGGGCTTTTAGGTTCTTGGGTTATTTCACCACAGAGCCTAAGGGTGACGTTGAAGGTGACATGGTTTCTGCTATGGCCATTTTTATTGTGTAACTCGATTCTCTCTTTCTGGCATTTTTTCTCCGCAGTATTGGGGGTTCTCTGCCAATTGTTTTTGCCTATTTCTCTGAATTCTTATCTCGAGAGAAGCGAGGAGAACACCTCAGCTGGCTGGGCATCTTCTGGATGACTGGGGGCCTCTACGCGGCCGCCATGGCCTGGAGCATCATCCCCCACTATGGTGAGCTGCAGGGTTGAAGTTTCTAGGGTCCTGTACCGAGAAACTTGTGTGACCTCAGTCTGATTCCTGATACATACAGCTGTGGTGTGTGACCTTGTGTTTCTAAAGGACTTCTAATATTGGAGACACATTGTTAATTTCAATACACAGATCCTTTTAGGATGACTAAACCACTATTTCATAAGCTAGAGACAAAAGCCAAGAGAAGTTGGCAACCCACGTCAGACGTCAGGCCCCTGATGTGGGGTGGGGAGGTGTGGAGTAGGGTCCTGGTCCAGGTGATGTCATTTTGCACACTTCCCACTTGTGCTGCTGTCACTCTGGGTTGGCTATTATGATGGCGCAGCCCTTTTAGACAAGGTCATGGTTTCAGCCAGGACAATTTTATTATCCCAGATATTTTAAAAAGTTATATCCTCTGGATGGATTGGCCACATTAACTTTTACTATTGGAATAGAATAAAATGAGGAGAAGCCAGCAGTTTTGAATTTTATTAGGCTTTTCAAGTATACTGATAATGCCAGCAGTACATTTCAACATGACTTTTGGCAAATTGTTGATTATGAATCAACAATCAACAAATTTCTATGATTTAGAATCCTGCAGCCTATGCAGGAAAAGCAGACAAGTGCGCTTGAGGCTGTCTACCCTGTGACTTTGTTTTAAATCAGACTTTTGGGCCATGGGTTTAGCTCAGTGGCACAAGTGCCTGCCTGGCAAGTGCAAGGTTGTGAGTTCCATCCTGGGTACCAAAAAAGAAAATAAATAAATTGAACTCTCTCTGCTGTGTGTCCTGAGCATGGAGGCTCTGTGTATACCTTTTTAAAAGGAAGCTTTGGCATGGACGATACCTGCTATATTAGTTAAGGTGATATTGGTTACATTATACTGATAAACCTATAAACCCTGAAATTGCATTGGCTTAACACAGTGGAATGTAAAGTCTGGCTGGTGTTTCTAATCTGCAGGTGACTCTATTCCATCAGTAATTCTCATATTCTTTCCATTACATAATTCCACCATGGCTCATAAGGTCTCTAGTTTGGGGAAAGAACACAGACAGTCAGAGACTGGTGTTTTTGTGTTTTTAAGAGATAAGATCTTTCTATGTTGCCCAGGCTAGCCCCGAACTCCTAGCCTTGAGCAATTCTGCTGCCTCAGCCTTCTGAATAGCAGGGATGTTGGTGGCTGTGCTGATGGTTTCAGAGGTAAAGCATACCTTCTGTGATCACTGGGGCCCCACCCCCCAAATGTGATATGATCCCACCGTACTGCAATGGATGCTGGAAAACACAGAAAGAGAGGTGTGTGTCCAGAAAGACAGGAAAAGAGTTTGGGGACACCATGTAGTCTTTGTCATATCTAGTATATAAAAACTCATTAGATTTTGGTATCAGAGACAGAGAAGAAACATGAACAGGAATAATAAAATAAAGAGCTGAACAGTTTTCCAGTTACTTCGGTCACTATAGACAGTTCTCTGTAACTTTACATACAAGATTGTCTACTCCTAATGTCAAGGCATTCAGCCCTTTACTTCGATGCACACTGATTTTTTGGGGTGCAAAAGAGAAAGTTAAGAAAATTTTCAACACTGTGCTAGTACTTGGCTAGCTTCCCTTTGGGACACAGAAGCAAGTGTAGGCTTCCTGTTTGCAGACTGCCTTTTGCACAAAGAAAGTGTGCCCTCGCACTCAGCCCAAGAGCAAAGGTCTTTGACTGCTGTCATGGGCCCTCCCCGCTTATCATGTACCTCAGGGGGTGCAGGTGCCCAGGTGCCCGATGGTTTGGACATACCTCCTTCCTCGTCTCTGGAACTAGGGTGGGACGACACTCCCCCAAGCCACACTTTGCCACACAGTGGAGAAGGAGGGGCAGGACAGTGTTACAGAGGGAGACAGCAAAGCATATTAATCACTACACACTGCAGCAATTTTTTTTACTATTTTACAAACCTAGATTTATTGCAACAGCACGTTGAAGAATTAAAAACATTTTTTAGATCATTGTTTCCGAGATATACAAGGACCCAACACAGTGCCCATGCGAGGCAAGCGTGAAGCCCGTCTGCGTAGCTGCCCAGCTGCAGAGCTGGGCCATAGCCAGGAAGACGGACCCGCTGTCACCTCTCCCACAGCCGCGGGCAGCTGACTGCAGACTGTACCGATTTTTAAAACCCCCACTTTACACATATAAACACCTACCCCTGTATCTAAATGTCTGGTTTCTTAGAAAACAATAAAAGAATTCAGGGTGAGATCCTGTTGACTGAAACCATGCGAGAACCCGAGGCAGAGGGTCACACGGCTGCTGGCGGACAGTGGAGCTTGTGGTTAAATATTTTACCTCAAAAGGACAGCACATTTTCCTGTTTGTGTGCCTGTGTGAGACCTCTGACTATTCTGTTACATTCTATTTTAAGACAGAGCCTTAATTAAAACAGACTTTAGCGTGGTGGAGACTCAGTCTAGAAGTATGACAGACTATAATCACGGCATAACAAGAGTGATTATTCTAAGCTCCAGTTTACCAGGGCCAGATGTTTTGTCCACAGTGAACCAGACATTTGATGACATTTTCCAATACGCCTAGGACACTAATCCTCTAACAACTGCAAGGGTGGCTTGCAAAGAGAGTGATGTTTGTGTAACCCATTTAATTGCTTTCGCAAGAATGAATGATGGGAGGTCTCAGCTTCCAAAATTTGGGTGACTGACTCATTGAGAGAGAAAATTATGAAATTCAAAATGTTTTCCTGGGAACTCGTGGGCACAGCCCAGAAAAAAAGGACATATTATAGAAGATTAATTCTCATTTTAGTCAGCATCACCAGATGTTTGTGAAATCCTGACACAGAAAAGTAGGGCAAACTGAAAGATCAGGGAACAGAGCAGTCCCTGCCTCCAAATTAATATTGTTCCAAATATTTGGAAGCAGTTTGCTATATCATTTTATGCAATTTAAGCCCCTAAATGTGCGCCTAATGAGTGCAATAAATGAAAGTTACTGAAATCACCATAAAAATCACAGAGGCATGAGGGGGAGTTTTTGATAATTTACACATATTATCATAAAGAAAATATCTTTTGAGGCAGAATAGTTTGTGTACCCACTTGCTTCTGCCCCTCCTCTCTGATTGTCCATCTGATGTAGCTGCTATTTAGTTTTGATCACTTTTATTTCTAATGATGCTAGAGCAGTTTCTGGGTAACAGTTGAGAATGTATAAATACTGGTAGGGTTTTATCTGCCTCTTTCTGGTGTTACTCCCAGGAGAAAGGACCGGCTCTGTAATTAAAATTAGAGTGAGTAAATAAACCCCAGTGAGGTGGGATCAGGCTATGGAAAAAAGACTTGGTTTTGATGTTCCAGGATGAAGTGTATATTCTGTGTCTTAGGTTAAAGGTTCCCCAGGGACCAAAGTCCCACATTTTGCCACCTGGATTCCTCTGGCCTCACCCTAATTGTTCTGCTACAGTAGGAAAAGCAAATACTTATTAGGAATCTTCTTCAGGTAAATGAGTTGAACCACCATGGCGAATCTGAAAATTTAAGACATAAGCTTCCCACCACTGAAATTAGCCGTCAGATATATTTTTAAGTAAATGCAGTAGAAATTTCATATGCAAATACTTATTATCCTGTAAACCATAGGGATCAGTACATTTGCTTATATAAATACATTGTTTGAATCGCCTTCAGATATATACACTTATATACAGCATCATTTTACCTTATAACCTCAGCCTTTTCTTTTTTTCAGTATGTGTGTTTCTGAAGTGAGTATAAGCCTTTTCTATTAAAAAACCATTTCTTTTGCTGGTCTTTGCTGAGAGTCCTCCATTTTCTTCAACATCCTTAGCAATGAATGTCATGAAGTTATTTCAAAAGAAATCATTTGGCCTCAAAGCAGGGGAGTGATTATGGGTTACCAAAAGCTTTCACAGATAGCAAATCTTTGGTGTGTGATTACTCGCAGTCTATAGCTATGAGGACCCAGGATTGCAATACAGATGTGATAAAGCTGGAACTTGAACTTTGCTCTATGTAATTACAAACATCCAGGACCCTCTTACTGTCTAACTGCTTCATAAAAGACTTTGCCACCCACGAGGGTATTCAAAAATTACCCTGAATGTACCTTCTGCAAAAGAATTTTAGCAATCTTTTGGAAAATGACAGCTGAATAGGACCTGGTCACCTCCACGTTTCAGTGGTGATGAGATTAATTTAAATGGAAAGATTAATTTTTTTAAAAAAATAGTTTTTATGTAGTCATATTAGAGCTTACAGTGTTTTACAGAGTATGATCCTGAATCTTGGCATTGGAAATGTCTGAAATTGGTTCTGCCTTTCTTGGGCAAAAGATGTCCTCAAACCCGGGGCTACATAAGAACTGCTTTGGATGTTCCATAAGACAAGAGTCCCTGAGGTCTTCACCCCACTCTGTTATAGTTTGGATCTAATATGTTCCCTCAAAGTCTTGTGTTCAGCTGTGGGGCTTTTGTAAGGTGATTGGATCATGAGCGTAGTGGATTAGTCTGTGAATGAGGACATATCAGGTTCTGCTGTTTGCATGTGAGGCCTTGGTTGGAAGAGGTGAGTCACTGGGTTGTGTGACCTGGAAGGGTGATTTCTGGCTCCTCTTCTCTTTGACTGCCTAGGGTAAACAGCTTTCTTCCACCATGCCCTTTTACCATTCTTTTTCTCCCTTGGAACCAACCAACCATGACTGAACCCACATGAAACTAAGCCAAAATAAACTTCTCCTCTTTTAAATTGTAGGTGTCAGGCATTTTATTTCAGCAACAAGAAAGCTGACCAATATATGCTCCCAATCAACTCATGCTCCAGGCACCTCAAACCCAGGAATTCCTATTTAACTTGGGGGGTTAGGACAAGTATGCCTCTTCTCATCATAGTTAGTGGTGGGGTTGTGTGTCTACACATGTTGGCCTGGGAGAGGAAGAGAAGGGCATTTAGTAAAAGTAAAAGAAGGTCTGATTCTGGCCCAGGCCTTCTGGGGCATTATTTGGTTAAAAGGTGGATAGAAAGAACATCTTTTATTTAACAGTTCCTACACTTAAAATTCAGTGTCTTTGTAGCAATTTTGGATGCTATTTCTGTTTGCATTCTTATACAAAGATCTGTAAGTGTGAGATCAAGTCTGTGCTTAGGGATGTGTCCCAATACAGATTCTCAGCTCCCATCCCAGACTTATGACTCAGAAGCTTTGTGGTTGCAAATGGGAGCCAGCACCTTAACCAGTGCCTGGGGGAAGTTTAGGTGCCCTGAACTTTGAGAGCTGGTGTTTAGGTGCTTTTCTGCAGTGGGAAAGGCCATGTGCCAGAAATCCTCTTTAATCCTCTTTTTTTTTACCCACAGGCTGGGGCTTCAGCATGGGGACCAATTATCACTTCCACAGTTGGAGAGTATTTGTCATTGTCTGTGCTCTGCCCTGCACTGTGTCCATGGTGGCCTTGAAGTTCATGCCCGAGAGCCCCAGGTTTCTGCTAGAGGTGAGTCTACACCTTCTCACCAGCCGCAGTAGAGTCCTGGCCTTGCTTCCCTCCGTCCTTAGTTCCTCATCTTCTCCTGATTGCTCCTTGCAAACTCTCCCGTGTTGGCTGACCTTACATACCATGAGGTCCGGCTCCCTTCCTGTTGGTGATGGTTGAAGATCATAGGTTCATGGCCTGATGGTGCTAGAGGGTCAGGAGCTCATGGAGTCGCAAGCAAGAGCCCTCTACAAGGCTGGGAAGTGGTTACAGGGCTGTTTCTGAGTTGCCTCATGCTCTCCCCACCCTTGGACTTGGTGCACTGCTTTTCTGTGTTGCAGCAGTGAACTCTAAGGTAAAGCTCACTGTTGCTTCTAGAAGCTCCAGGGATCTTGGCTGTGCAGGGCCCTTGTCCTCTCAGAAAGCTACCTGAGTCCCACGAGATGGATCCTTCAAGCCTCCCACCTTTGGGGGATTGTGGACCTTGCAGTGGTCAGAGACAGGTGAGGCATTGGCAGGAGGGAGACAGGACACAGAGGCTGTCACAGCCCCAGCCACCAGAGTCCACAGATCTGCCACCCTTTTGAGCCCTCTGCAGAGTGATCTTTGGTGTTGAATTTCCTCTTCCTCCCACTCATCAGGCAGGCACAACAGGAAGTTGTCTCAAAATACACCCTTTGTTGTGTGCTTGTTTCTTGGGGCTGCTGTAACAAAGCACTATCAACAAAGTGACCTAAAATACCAAATCTCTCTCACCATTTTAGAGGCTCGAAATTCGGAATCAAGTTTTCAGCAAGGTCATGCTCCCTCTGAGACGTGCTGGAGAGAATCCTTCCTTGTTCTTTGCAAACTGTAGTGGCTTAAAGGCAAATTTTACTTGCAGCTGCATCTGTTAAACTGAGCCTTTGTCATTATATGGAGTTTCCCCTGTGCATCCCTGTGTCTTTATATGTCTGTCATATTACGAGGACAGTAATCATTTTAGATTGGGGGCTCACAATATTCCAGAATGATCTCAGCTTAACTCATTACATTTGCATAACTTTCTTTGCAGATAAGGTCACATGGCTGTACTGAGGGGAAGGACTTTAACGCATAACACCTTGTTACTTCCCTTTATCCCATCAGTGAGGAGCATGGCTCCTTCCCTTGACTCAACTTTATAACTGTAATTACAGTGGCTGATATTTATACCTTAAAGGCACAACCCTATTCTTCTTCCTGAGCAGCTGGGCATAGAAATGTGTCCTAGTATTTCACAAGCTCTGAACAATGATGAATCCATGTCCAGTCCACCTAGACCCAGGTGTCAGTGTCCTCTTTGGAAGGTTTTCCACCTCAATAAAAGAAACAGTGGTTTTCACATCTTTTTCCTTGGTTTTATTAGATGGGCAAGCATGATGAAGCCTGGATGATTCTGAAGCAAGTCCATGACACCAACATGAGGGCCAAAGGGACCCCAGAGAAGGTGTTCACGGTGAGTGTGTGATGGCTTCTTTCTACTGTTTGGGGCTTTATATATTAAAAATAATTTTAATAATTCAATAGAAATGCTGTGAAAAGCATAATAAAAACCTACTATTCCAAGTGTTACATCATAATTATCATTTGTATTTTGGTGAATGTCTTTCCTTAGGTAGTGTTCAGAGTGACAATAGGAAAAACCAGCCCTAGTCACATGAGTGTAAGCACCTATACACAAATTTGCATATGCATATTAAGCAGCACTCATAAGCATTTGGTACGTTGTCTCCTAGTATTCATAACCATCATCTTAATGAACACTTATGTGAGGAGCATTAGCACAGTTTGTATGAACATGTCCCTTGCGTCACAGGCTTGTCTACCCTGTTTTTTTACCTTGTTTACCTTGTTTTTATTACCTTGTTTTTATGAATATTTTTGCAGTGAACCACCCCAGGCACATAGAGTGATGGTTCTTTCAAGTTCTGAGTTTATTTTCTAGGAGGAGAGTGCACTTTTGGAAATAGAATTACTGGCTCAGAACACAGGCATTTTTACAGATTCAAGATATATTGCCAGACTACATTTCATCTGAGTTGAGCCACTGCACCATGCCACAAGCACCAGGTTACTCATTTCTCTACATCCTGACTAGTGTTCATGGTTAGCCTAATTTTGTTTCCTTGCTTGTTGAAAAGGCAAGGAACCCATCGTGGCTTCCATGAAGATGTCCTGTTATGGAGCTGTCGTATTCCTGCCTGACCTGTGCTGTGGCCAACCACAGAGCCAGCCTGCTAGAGGCAGCTCTCTGTGGTTTCCATAACTGCTTCTGAGAACTACTTCAAAGTCACTTTCTCCGGGAAGCCTTCTTAGATTAACTCTCATTCAGTAACTCTCATCTTGTGCTTTTTGATTCTTTGGCTTTCATAATTTCAGTTTAAAGTATTTGTCTTTGTTGATCTAATGCTTAAAACCCCTAATTCTCTGGCAGGATCACATGGTACTTAAGAATCTATACCAGGAGCCAGGCAGTCTGGATCTAAATCCTGGTTTTGATACTTTCTAGCTGTGTGTGGTCTTTGGCAGAGTAGGCTCTGTGCCTCGTTTCCCTCCTTGGGGAAAGCGGAATAATGGTACATATCCATAATGACAGCTATTGTAAGGATTAAATAAAGCATCTAAAAGAATGCCTAGCTCGAAATGTCACAGATGTGAACCATTATTAAAAAATGTCATGACTTCTTTGTAATAATTTAACTCAAGTTATAAGCTTAATGGAAAATTGATCAGTGGAATATTTCTCCAATTCCAACATCCCTAAAATATCTAAAATAGACCAGTACTTTTTCACAAACATGTATTAAGATCCATGATTAACAGAAGTCTTTCAAATGAAGGATGCTAAGGGTGCATTTTCTATCTCCTCTGCTTGCTGGGTATTGTAGTGTCACAGCTGGGCTGCAGGTGCAGAAACCAGGGGTCTTTGGGGCTTTCTGCACACGGGAATCTGGGGATCCCTGAACTGGTCCTGCAGCTCCTCCTTTCCTTCCCATTCCATGGCCTGGATAAGTTCAGACTTCTTGTGAAGTTCCTGCTTTCTGAATCCACATCAGCTGGATTAGTTCTTGTACTGCATCATCCTTATATGAAACACACACGCACCCTCACGTCAAGCATTTGTGAATTTCACAGCCTTACCAAAAATCTGAGAATAGGAATTGCATCAGAGCTTTCTCCTTTCCTCTGCCCTCTCTTTTCCTTTAATCTGTTTCTTTTTTTGTCTCTCCTCTTTCCATTGCAATCTTTCTTTCTCCTTTTGGAGTAAAACATCCTCTCTTTGGCCCAAGCCATGGTCTTTCAAGTCTGAGTGTGTCTCTCTGGGATTATCCCGTAGCTTAAGCCATTTACTAACACACAGGGATTCTCCTAAGAGGAGTCCTGATAGACCATTTGTCTGCACCCCAACTTGAGTGTTTGCCCATATCTTCGTGGTAAACTGTTGTCTCTGTCTGACTTTTGTTTCACCCTTGGTCAACGGGCACAATAGTGCCCACACAAGTGGGGCCACCCACTGCTTCCTGCCTGTGGCTCCTGGAAGGACCTTTTCTAAATCAGCCATCTGGTCTCACTGGGGTCACCTTCGTAGATAAGTGATTCCACACCTCCTTTGACAACTTGTGCTAATATGTTAGTAGATAAGTTTGGGAAAATTAATACTTTAGAGAATTCACGTGAGCAGAGAGAAGTTTATGAATTGGAGTCTCCAACACAGAAGTGGCTCAGGGCACCCCCAAAGAAGCAGAGGGAAGTTTTATAGGGCAGATGTGGAGCAGACTGAAGTTTGAGCCATGCAATGGCCTTGTTTGGACTATCTGGTGGGAAACTGAAGATAACTATACTGTGCCAGTGATTGACTGACCTGAAATGTCATTTCTCTTCATCTGAGTTAGGTTCTAATGCCCAGGGAATTAGAGCCACCTCAGTCTGATGGCCTCCCACTTAGTTATTTTTAATAAATCTCAGGAGCCTAACATTGAGGAATAAGCCTGATTAAAAACTCCTATTTCCAAAGGTGAAAGGTAAATCTTTTGTTGCATGACCGGAGTGACGTATGTGAGGAAGGAAGCCCTTTCTGGGAAAAAAAGCCCAGGGAGAAATCAATGAGTAGGGGATATTCAGGGTTGGAATTGTGCATTATCCCAACGCACATGCTGGCTCTTAGATATGAGTTCTGCTTTTAGTAGTTTTTACCAAGTAGGAATTGGAACTAAGGTGATGTGGGTTCAGTATTCCATAGTGACTCGATGATCTATGAATTATGTAGAACTGGTGACATGGTAGGCCAGGAAAAGCAAAGAAAGGAAAGAATGAGGCAGGGAGAGGGAGGGAGGAAAGGAAAAGAAATGGAAGGAAGAAAGGGAAGTGAGGAATGACCTCAGAGAGCTGGCCTGGGATTGGCCGTAGTCAGGTGAATTCTCGGTCCACCTGGATGGAGTTATCTACCTTATCTTATCTGTTCCCATTAGTAAATTTCTCTTAAATTCACTCAGCAGCCCCAGAATGATGGAGAGTGTCAGAATCCCACTCAGGGAATCTGCAGGTAATTCTGTGACCCTCCCTCCTTGCTTTCCCTGATAAGGCCTGGGCTCCAGCAGCTCCACTCACTGTCCAGCTTGTAAACAGCCATCTGGCAGGTATCCTGGACAAACCTTTAGAAGGGAGGGCACTGAAGCCTTCTGCTGAGCACCTGTGTTTTGCAGAGCTTGGGGGAGGGGACAGGACATATGCTAATCTAGATGGAATCAAAAACAAGCTCTCTAATTAATTGTAAATTAGAGTGTGCCAGAAGTTGTCAACACACCCACTCCCAAATCCCTGGGGAATGGGGTGCTATTTTACTAAGGAGCAAAGAATGTAATTTGCATTTGAGTAGTTTGGAGTGTGACTTTCAAGGGGCTCTGTGGGTTGGTGTCAGCCTTTGCCCCCGGCAGCTGGGATGTGAGGTGTCTGTGGGATAGATGGGAGCCCAGGCTCCTGGCTTGCCCTCAGGTTCCCTTGTCCAGTCTCAGGCGAAAGAGGCTCTGCAAACCTTGGTCCCAGGAGTGGCAGGACAAGCCCAGGGGACTCACAACAAATGCAACTTCAGGGAAAAAGCCTCTGCTTTGACCACATCCTTTATGGGTGGCATTCCCTCCCGATTCTCGGGACTCCATGGGCAGGGAGGGGAGATGCGTAGCTCAACTCTTTCAGATCTGCTATTCAAACAACAGTGAGTCAGGAACCGTGCCCCCGTATCCAGGACTGGTTTTCTCCCTGTGTGTTACCTGACCCCATCTTTATTTCTCTTCCTTTGTGTCCTCATTGTCCCAATCCCTTGGTGAAGAAGGAGAGGCTTAGCTGACTTGTTGTTTTATCCCTGGATGGAAGGTTTCTTGCAGGCAATGCTGGATTCTGTGTCTGAAATTTTCTGAGAACTCTTTTCTATCGGTCTGTGACTTAGAGGAGATGCCGACAAGCACGGGCCTTGGTAACTTGCCTACAGGAGCCTGTGCGCTCAGGAATGTCATTAAAACAGCGATCAGTTATGCAATTCAATGGCTGCTGTAAACATGGAATTGATTTGGAAATCAGTGTCTTAGTGAAGCTGCTCACATGAGCACTCAGCTTTCCTCAGCCATTTAGGGAACTGGAGACCTACCGCTGTGTGATTTCTGCTAGAGGAACCAGTCCGTGATTTCTCTTACTCTATTGCTTTTCTTACTCTGTTGTGTTCTACTCTAAGAACAGAGTTACATTCATGACTCTAAATGTTGAGACATTTAGAAATGTCTTGAGTAGTAACATCCCTTCTTTCCACTGTTGCCTGGCTGGGTCCTTGACCTCTGTGATGTTCATACTGACAATAATATTGTGAATTTTAATGTGACATCAATTTTACTATGGGTAAAGCAGATATAATGGGAAACCAGTACATTATGGAGCCACTAAAGACAATTTCCCAAAGGCATGATTTGGAAAAAAATTCATTTTTTCCCAGTGGGACATATCCATCTGAGAAAGATGTGTAGGAGTTGCTATGCACGTCTGTGGTTGAAGTCATAGAATGAGGTAACCAGAGCCTCCCCTTGCCTAAAAAAAGTTTTTAAATAGTCAATTATAGTAAACGAAATATTGAAGATTCTGCAGACAAAGTGGAATTGAGATTCCCTAGTTCAGGGGTTCCCTGCTGGTTGTGGCCATGGACTGATACCTGTCCTTGTCCTGTCAAGAATTGGGTCACATAGCAGGAGAGAGTGTGTAGCAAGCACTCAAAGCTTTATCTGTATTTATAGCCACCAGGGCTTCACCCCCTGTTAGGTCAGTGGTGGCATTAGATTCTGATAGGAGTGTAAACCTACTAGGAGCTACGGGTAGGATCTAGGTTCTTTGTTTGTTATGAGAATCTAACATAATGATAAAAGAAATAAAATGGACAATGAATGTAATGCTCCTGAATCAAACTGAAATTATCTTGTAAAACATGTTCATGTAAAAAATTCAGTAAAACCAGTCACTTATGCCAAAAAGATTGGGGACCCCAACTCTAGCCCATCTTTGCTTTTCAGGTTTCCCACATCAAAACTCCCAAGCAGATGGATGAATTCATTGAGATCCAAAGTTCGACAGGAACTTGGTACCAGCGCTGGCTGGTCAGATTCAAGACCACTTTTAAGCAGGTATGATTCGGGAGGGTGGCTCTATGGGTGTCTATAACTTTAGCAGGTGAATTACCCTCATTAAGTACCCCCAAAGTACCCTCAAGCATCATCAAGTCCCCTCATCAGGCTAAGGCAGGTAAGAAGCAGCTCTGGTCAGGGATGTTTGGGTCCCAGTCCCTGTCTGCCTGTATCTTTCTGAGCATCTCTGAGGTTTACACACTCTAAACTCTGTGTGCTGCCTTTGGTTTTCTTTCTTAAGGCAAGGCTGTTGACTAACCGGAGGAAACATCCTTCTCTCTAGTGACTTATTAAGTGACCTACAGGAAGGAAGAAGGGAGTGAAATAAATCAATAGATCCTTAGGATTTGTTAATGATTTGGGGGGAAGACTCTTTACAGCCGGTGATGCCTTTTCTCCAGAGCACTGGCTCTTGCAAGAAAGGAGCAAGGCAGCTCTGAGATGAGAGGTGTTCGTGACGTGCTGTTAATAAACATTTGGATATCAACCCCACCCATGGACGGGAGAACTCACCACTCCAGTTCACTTTGGTTCTATTCGTGAAATATCATGATCACAGGGGAAAAGCCATAGGACTGTTGGAATATGGGGCAAGCAGGAGGTGATGGGCTTCTTAGGGGCTGCTCTGGGAGATGATGGGTTGCCCATCTCTCCACTGGATCCTAGACAGCTTCTTCGAAAATCTGAAGAATCTGAGTTCTTCCAAGACACATACTCTTTCCTTTAACCATTCTTCTCTGGTCTGGCTTTCAGGTTTGGGATAACGCTCTGTACTGCGTGATGGGGCCCTACAGAATGAACACCCTGATTCTGGCCGTCGTCTGGTTCACTATGGCTCTCAGGTGAGTTCCATCCTGCTCGAACCCCTTAGTTTTTCTGTGTCTCAGTTGCCCTGTTTCCGCGCGGAGGATTCATAGAGCCTGTGTCAGTGTGGGCGCCACTGGCTGTAAATATTGGGCAACATCCTCTGGTGGCTTCTCTAAGAGGAGTGTTTGCATTGCAACAAGAATTTCTAGTAAAGCAGGCTGTAGGAAGAGTTCCAGACTCAGGCTAGTTCTCATAGTGACTGCAAGGCACTAGGCATCCTGTGAGAAGAGGTGCCATGTCTTAAAGAGAACAAGGCTTCCTCTCTCACCCAAATTGAAGTATAATTGGAAGATAAAAATTGTATGCATTTAAGGTGTGCAACTTAATGTTTCGATACACAAATACATTATGAAGAAATGGCCATCCTGAGCTAGAGAACATGTCCATTGTCTTGCATAGTTACCATTTATCTGGGTGGTCAGGACACTTAGGACCTCCCCCTCTTGGCAGAAGTTAAGCAAAAGCAGAGGCTGGGGATTTAGCTCAGCAGCATAAGCGCCTGCCTTGCAAGCAGGCAGTCGTGAGTTTGATCCCTGGTACTGATAAAAAGGAAAAAGACAAAAAAAAAAAAAAAAAAAAAAAAAAGTTAAGCAAAAGTACAGCTTGGTTAATGATCGCTGATTGGTAATCATTAGCTAGTTGCTTTTGTGAGCCAATGTTAATGTTGAGCTTTCTTTTTAACACCAGCTGAAGTTTTCTCAGCTCCCTCCAGCCAGCTTTCCTTCCTGTTGCAGTAGTTGGAAGTGGGTCATGAGCCCCTGGTTAACTCTTCTCAGACAAAGGAGATGGGATTTCCCAGTGGTTTTAGACTAATCAGGATTTACCTCCAAGCTGAAGATACTGGTACTTTTCTTAAGGGCTGATACCTAAATAGATTGAAGTTTCTGTTTGCAAGAAGAAAGCTGGGAGTGAGTGCCTTGTAGGCAGTCACCAGCGTTGAGAGAATATGAGACGGATAGAACAGTGAGTCTTTGCAATACAGTGTCCTAAAATACAGAAAGAAACTGTAATTCAGTGTGTGATTAGCTTCCTCCTCTCGGAAGCTGCAGGCTCATACCCAGCCACCATGTTAATCTCCACATAATAGGATCTTTCTTTCTATATGAATTTTGGAGCCTGTTTATAGTGTTGCATGGCTGCTTTACTGTGTATATAAAGTTCTTAAAATAGTTTCTGACACATAAGAAGTGTTCAGTAAGTTGTAATTACCAACCAGGAAGCACTAACAAGATTTTAAACTTCCATCTGTGAAATTACTTTGCTCACCACTGCCTGTGTCTAAAACCTACCCTCCCTCACCCCAGGAAGGTTAATGGGCTGTAAAGACCTCTGGGATTATGGGGGGGATGTGGGAGACCTCATGTGCTCTAGTGCCTGTGCGTGGAGACCTGGCCTTCTAGCCCCGGGCAGGTGAAAGTCTTGTACTTGCTACTAACTTGTTCTCTTTAAGTCACTCAAGCCCAGCTAACAGAGAACATTCCAGAAGCCAGAAATGACCAACATTAGCATTCAACTCACTGCAGTTTTAAAATGTTTTACTTACGTGTAATTACATTTAATTTCATTTTGTGGAGTAGGTAATACATTTCCAGTGTTGAAACAACAGAGAAATCACGTGTTTGTCCCTTCTCCCTCTGCCCACTCCCTTCTGCCTCCCATGTGTAATTACTTTTTATTTTTCTATTTATCATTCCTGTGATTTCTTTTTGCAAAAGTAACCAAATAATTACATAGATATGTAATTATATGTGTAATATATGCACATATTTATATATATGTTTATATATACATTCTTGTATCTTCTTCCTTTTCTTCTTCGAAGGGACACATTTCCATTTAACTTTTGTGCTTAATGATCTAACCTGAAGTCTCCTCATGCCAGTACATTGAGGTGTCTTTATTCTTCTTACAGTGGCCAAGTGCCAGAACCTAGTGTCACATTGCATCTCCTGCTCCCGGGGTGTCCTTGCTAGTCTCCTGGGAGGATTTCTGGTTTCTGGACCTTTGCTGCTCAAACAGTGTCACAATGAGTCACTGTGAATGTGGGCTACTTTAGATTTGGGCTGATTTATCAGTGCAATAGATTCTTGGAAGTGGACTTGAAGGGTAAAAAGAGGTAAATGAGAACGTGATATTTTTAGGCAGGGATGCATTCTTCTCCATATGGTGTTATACAATTGTGTCCTTTCCCCAGCAGTTTCTGAAAACACCTGTTAGTCTACAGACTCCCCAGCAGAGTGTTTTAACAAACTTTGGGTTTTTGACAATCTGGTAGCTGAGAATGGTATATTTTTAATTCATATTTTCCTGATTCTAAGTAGGACTAAGTGTCTTTTTTATATGTTTAATGTCTGGTTTTTTGGAATGAGTTATCTTGAGTTTTCCAGGTACAAAATCATATCACCTGCAAAGAGAGATAGTTTATCTGTTGTGCTGCAAGTTTATATGGCTGCTCCTTTCTCTTGTCTGAGTTAGCTAAGACCTATAAGGTGGTGTTAGATAGTCATGATGATGATGGATATCTGCCTTCTCTTGGTCCTAGTGGGAATACCCTTAGTGTTTCTCTGTTCACAAAGATTCTGGTCTTTGAGTGAGACATGTACTTGTATGTGGTGAGGAAGTGTTGACAATCCATAGGACTGAGGATGGAACCCAGGGCCTCCTGCATGTAGGAGGTCGCTCTGCCATTGAGCTGCACCCAGAGCCCAGCAGTGAATTATTTTGAATCAAAGGCCTTTTCAGCATCTATGGAGATGTTCACATTTTTTCTTAGCTATATTACTATGATCAGTGGTTGTATTTCCTGACAGTGAACCCAATGAATATGTTAAAGAGTCTGATCCATAGCCAGCTGGGAGTGCAGGCTCTGGTTGTGAAGGAATCCATAATGGAGCTCAGCCACCGTCTTCTCCTCTGTTCCAGCTATTACGGTCTGATAGTGTGGTTCCCTGACATGATCCGGTACTTTCAAGACGAAGAATACAAGTCTAAAATGAAGGTGTTTTTCGGTGAGCACGTGTATGGTGCCACCATCAACTTCACGATGGAAAACCAGATTCACCAACATGGAAAACTCATAAATGACAAGTAAGTGTGTGACCCTGGGCATCCTTCAGAGCAGGGTGGCAGCTCGGGGACCGTTCTTGGGAGAGACAGAGATTCCCCATGGTGGGCTGAGTGCTGCCGCTGTCACCGCATCCTGTCTGGGGGTGACACAGTCGTTCCCCAGGTAGTTGCTCTGTTTTGTGCTGGCCCCTTTTTCCTCCTGCTCTTCTCTCTATGGGAGGTGACACTTGACTGAGGACAGTCAGTGGGACCATCTTTCCTGAGACCTTGACTCTTTTGTGGAGAGGAACAGAAAGCTGTATTCCATTGATGTCACTCAGCTGCACACAGGCGCCTCTGCAGACGCCTTCTGCTGTCTTAGAGACTGAACCCAAGGAGATGCTCACACTGAGCTACAATCCCCAGCCGTTTTTAAGGTTTTATTTTTGTTTTTATAATTTTGAGACAGGAACTCACTAAGTTGCTAAATTGCCCAGGCTGGGATCAAACTTACTATGCTCCTGCCTCAGCCTCCCAGAGTGCTGGGTTTACAGCTGTATTTCACCATGCCCGCCCCTGGTCACCCCGTTAACTCTACTTGGCAAGCTTTCTGAGTTGTGAGTTGTGAGTGACCACAGGCCATGTGGTGGAACCAGAAATTAAAGGACTCAGAGCTCTTACTTCAGAGGTCCCTGAAAGTCTGTGACCAACTGTTGAGCTTTTTCTTTAACTCAAGGGACATTTCCATGCAGTGACTGTTTGGGTTCCACCCTTTGTTATTCTGCCATCATGCTGCAGGGTGAATCAGTCTTCTGTTGTCAGCCAGCAGCTGTTGTCTAAAGGAGGAAGCCAGGGTGTATTAGAAGAGTCCTCACACTGTTGTGGGGCTGCCTTTGAAGTCTATTTTATTCCTCCTCTTCCTAGACCTGGGAACAATCACTTGGGTGGTCTGATCTGTCGGGCTTGAAGAATGCCAGTGCCACAGTGGGTCAGGGAGGACATCAGCCTCGTTTACTCCGGGCCACATTATTTTTCTTCCCCTGGTGCCTGATGTCTCAGGGAAGTCCCTGCTCATGTGTTGTGACGGCCAACAACAGCGAGAAGGGGATGCATGGCTGAAGGAGGCCCAGGAGCCCCTCTCCCATCTGTCTTTCTCGGGCAGGCCACACCATGGCAGAGGCTCCCTGTGGTTTGGGGAGAGAGTGAAATCAAAGGATCACATTCAGACTTTCAAGGATGAGACCTTTGGGAAGGAAGGAAGCTTTAGGACCAAGTATCATTGGACACAGAGTCTTCATTTTCAGAATGATTTACTTATTTATTTATTCATTCACAGTAAAAGGACTTTTAATGTTTTATTCGAGCAAAATAAAACAGCAACAAAAAAGGGAATAACAACAACCAAAAACCCCACAGAAACAAAAGTCATCCACTTTTTAAAAAATGCAGAACCTCAGTGGCAAACATCTATGCATTTGTCCAGACTTCCACAAATCTTGTGAATAGATGCTCAGAGTCCCTGTAACCTGCCGAGGTACCTCCCCAGGGCTGGCAGCCCCCTTGCTAGAGTGGTGGGAGGGAAGGGGGTTTCATCCTTGGAGGTCTTTAGTATTAGGTCAGGAGATCGGGCGCTGGCATGCCAAGGAACAATGGCTCTTCCTTATGGCTCTTCCTTTGCCAGGTCACTTTGGAAATGTTGAAAATTAAGGGACACCAATCCCTGCAGAGATTAATTCACTAAGGGAGACTTCATTTATGAAGCTCCAATGTTCAGTCATACTCTATTACAATATGGAAAATAATGACAGTAACAACAATACCCACGATGCCGGGAATCAAAACTGCAGAAGCCAGCATTATTTAGCCTCTGTGTGCCAGCCACTGCTTTAAGAGCCTCACATAAATCATCCCATGTTATCCACCAAAATATGGCAAGAAGTCGGGAATATGCTGCTTTACAGGTGGGGAAACAGAGACTGAGTAACTTGTTCAAGGTCGCATAGATAATAGAATAGAAACGTCTGCAAACAATGTCCTGCACATATTGTCACTGCAGATGTTGTCTCCCTGGGAAGCTTTCCATTCCCACAGAGGCGCTGACGTGCCCCATGTTTTCTGGGTTTGGAAAACTCATCCCAGTGTTCGCATCCTTGTAATTTATAACAGGGTGTTTAGAGTTCTAAGACTCAATTAAGAAGAAACAGGGACTTTTGGTCCACTCTGTGTCCTTTTACCTTTTCTCAGTGTTCCCAAGCTGCCAGCACCCCTCTGGGTAGAAATGGGGTGGGCAGCAAAGGCTGATGAGAGCAGGGGTCACAACTCATGGATGCAGGACCCCGAGACTACAGTATCATCACCAAGGATCTGGGAATATGCAGGCACCCGAGGTCACCTGAGACTAGGTGTTAATATTCTTCTCACACTTGTGCTACCCTGCTGTGTTTCCAATACATGTAGGTGGTTTTGTGTGATTATTAAAATGTGAATCCCTTCAAAGTTACACTGAATTAATTGTAACTTTTGTTACTTGTGTTTTTATATAATGGGTACTAAAAGTATACTCTACCCACTCTAACTTGGAGCTCATGATTTTTCCACCTAGTAAAATGAACAAAAAGAGTGTTTTTTTTCCTTGAATGGAGTAGGCTTGAAATTTAAGAACTGTACTTTGCTTCTTCTCTTGGGTTGTCCTGCCATCTGCTGGTCATGAGTGGACAACACTTTGTTTTGGAAAGACGCAAGCCTGAGGTCAAACAAGAATAACCAGCTATGCTTTAGCCTCCTTAGGGTATTTCTCTGTGTCAATAGTTTTCCTTAACATCTCCCATATTTTGCTCCTTTAAAATTTAGATGAAAATTACGCATTATATTGAGAAGGATGTCTGTGTAGACAGAGCTTTAGATTTCACTGATTTGTCAATAAAGGGAAGCCTATGGAAACCATAGTCTCATCCCATTGTAAACTGATTACTTTGCTCTCAGGAAGGAACAAAAGTGCACAGACTGGTTCTGACCTGTTCCCAAAGCATCACCTGCCTCCTCCTGCTGTCTCTCTTGGGAACCTGGTGGTTCTGAGTTTCCATACACTTTTTGTTTCATAATTTGTGAGTTTTTTTTTTTTTTTTTTTTTTTTTTTTTTTTTTAAGAATGTACAAGACAGGGAGAAGAGTAAGTTCATGTTTTATACCCTGAGCCAAATGTCAGGTCAGGTTTTACTTTTGATTAAAATCAGGGTCAGTTTTCATCTCCAAGTTTGTACCAATTAATTAACATACCGTCTCCTGCTGGGAAAAAATCTGTTTGGCAGGGCTGGCTTCTGCGAGGATTAAAATGAGGGAAGAGTACTTTCTGTCTTAGATCTCTTTGGATGTCAGGAGATGTGCCTAATTCCTGTCTGAGATAGGTCATGACCCGGAAGTAATGCCCTAATCCTTGGGTTTCCTTACACCTAAAAGGAAGTGGATGTGTTTTGAGCATTCCCAGTTGGAACTTCTAGTGGGAAAGCATTACTGTCTACACAGATGATTTGTCAGTGAAGATAAAAGAGCTTTCCTGAGTTCCTATGAAAAGCTGGAGGTAAGTAGCTCAGAACAAAAATAAAATTTACAAGATTTAGCTTTAAAATAGGATCCATAGGGTAGCAGGAAGCTGGATGAGTGCAGAGAGAAAACAAATAAAATATAGCTGGAAAAAAGAAGGTTGACTTCACATTGAAATGTTACCTTTAGGGTGTTTGAATAACTGACAGTTTTCTTTGATTTAAAAGTAATGCTACAAAATCTGATTATGAAAGATTTTTTGTAGTTTATATACCTACACATAGAATCACTGAGTGAAGGGTCCTTTAGTGAGGTAAAAATAAGACTACATATTTTTTTTGCAACTTACTGCATAATGAATTTGCTTAAGAATACCAAGCATTAGCAATGAGCAAAGTTATCTCTGGCTTCTAGAGCTGAGAAGGCAGAGCTGAGTTCCAGCCGGAGGGTCAGTTACTCACTGAGCTCCTCTGAGCAAATCTCTCAACTGCTTAAGCCCTGGATCTCACATTTGAAAGTGACAATATTGATATGGAATGTTATTTCACATGGGAATTTTTCCATAAAAATTATAGCTTTCATAAGTCCTGTATGTTCTTGTTGAGAGTCTTCCTGGGTATTTTATACCTCATTTGGCCACTGAAAATGGATTGCTTTTATTCTGTCAACCATTTGCATGTGAAAATTGCACATATTATTTGCATATGAAAATAAACAGAAACCCTACTGATTTTTGATTCTTTTGTGTTCAGCTGAACTCTTTTGTTTGTTTCAATAGGCTTTTTTTTGGTTATTGTTATGTAATCCTATTGTTACCAGGAAAGCAGGTCCTGAGCAGGGAGGAACCAGACTCTCATTTTCTTGATCCTTGGTTCTTCAGGGCCTTGGTGAAAGAATTCATCAGGACATACAGAAGTATACATAGAGTTTATTTTAAAGAACATGGAGAGTCACAATTTCAAGTGAGCAGGCGGGCAGTGCTACTGAGGCATTTATCCCCAGCATGAGTTTGGATGCAATTTTATGCACTCAGGAGTTTCTCTGGGGAGCTGGGATAATTATGATGCTTGTCACTATTTTACTTAGAAGTTATTTAGGAATTGCAGAATGTCTTGTGTCCTTTTTTATATGGTCATCATTTGCTCAGGAGCTACCATCATGTAAGAAACTTAGAAAAGCTAAATTCTTAATTTAAAACAGGCCCCAGCCTAAGGCAGGAAGTCTTTAAAAGACATCTGCTTTCCTGATAGCATTGGGTCTATGAGCTCTGGCAGCTGGGAATGTAGGGTGCCTTGATCGGGAGTTACATGCCAGGTGACTGGGAGGCAGAAGGAAGGTGTACAAAATGTGACCCTCCCACGTCGTTGTGCTCTGGGGATGGCTTTGGACCTGGGCCGTAAGCAGTGGTTGTAAACGCATTCCACACTGATGTCTTTATTTCTTTTCTTAACTGGCAATGGATGCTGTTTGGATTCCCTTCTGTCCCTCAGGCCCACTGATGTC